TTTCTTTCAAGTTTTTTTTCAGCCATACTAACAAATTTCTTTTCTATCTTGTTTTTCATCTTTTCAGGGTATCAACCTTTTTTTTCTTTACTTTTTTCTTTCTTTTTCTTTTCCTTTTTTTCAGGCGTGATGATATGAACTTCCTTATTTTTTCTTTTTCTTTTCCTTTCTCAGGCGTCATATGAACTTCCTCATTGTCTTTCTTTCAAGTTTTCCCTTTCCAGGCGTGATAGCAGCCTACCTGCAGCTGATCCGCGGAACGAAGTACAGCAGGTTTCCCAACTGGCTCGACACGTGGCTCAAGATGAGAAAGCAGCTAGGCCTATCCATGCTCTTTCTTGCCTCTGTCCATGTGAGTTTGATAAATGCATCACATGATTCACATTGCTTTGATATTCATGTTGCGTGCTTGACTTGAACTCCGGAAAGTTAAAAAAAAAAAAAAAAAAAAAAAAAAAAAAAAAAAAAACAAGAACCCTGAGAAAAAAGAATGATGGATGACTTGGCAAATAAAGATCAATTATTTACCGTCACGCGCCAACCTTCTCGATGGTGAGTGTGCCGCTGAAATCTACGCGATTGCCTATTCTCATTCATATCTTTTTCTGAGTAAATCCTGGAACTAATGCTGATCGACCCGCACATGCGCAAGTAGATACGCACACACAGACGAAAGTATATGTAAAGGGTACATTCACGTGCATGTTCACACAGCGCACAAACTCAAACATCTCTCTGTCTATCTGTCTATCACTATATCCGTCTATCTACTTATCTGTCTATATACCTAGCTATCTGTCTGTCTCTCCCTCCTCTGTCTCTGTCTCTGTCTCTGTCTCTGTCTCTGTCTCTGTCTCTGTCTCTCTCTCTCTCTCTCTCTCTCTCTCTCTCTCTCTCTCTCTCTCTCTCTCTCTCTCTCTCTCTCTCTCTCTCTCTCTCTCTCTCTCTCTCTCTCTCTCTCTCTCTCTCTCTCTCTCTCTATTTATCAGCCTATCTAACTATCACTTTACTATCTCTATCTCTATCAATCTGTCTATCTATCTGTCTCTCCCTTTCTCCCACACTATAGATAGATAGATAGATAGATAAATTGATATACATATATATGTGTATGTGTGTGTAGGCCTACCTACACACGCACGTACGTACACACACACACACACATATGGACACACACACACACACACACACACACACACACACACACACACACACACACACACACACACACACACACACACACACACACACACACACACACACACACACACACACACACACACACACACACACACACACACACACACATCATATATATATATATATATATATATATATATATATATATATATATATATATATATATATATATATATATATATACATGCAAGTGTCCCATATACACTAAGCCGGAAAGCTTTAGGCCTACATCCCCACCGCAGACGTGCCTGGGCCTGGCCGTGTGGTCGAGCCGCTACGACGGCCTCGTGTGGGAGAAGCCGATCGTTTTCTCTGCCGATGTCAAGGTCAACGCGACGACCTTTGTGACGAAGAACATCACGGTGCACGACTCCTTGATGAGCCTTCAGGGAGAGCTGTTCCTTACCTTTGGTGTGTGGCGGACTAAAGTTTGTTTGTTTTTTTTGGTATGATAAAGGTTATTTTTCTATATGATACGTCATGGGAATTTCGATGATTAAGCCTTTCTTTTTTTTTTAATTATATGATACTCATGGAATGATGATTAACCTAATGCCTTTCTTTTCTTTTCTTTCTTTCTTTCTTTGTTATTTCGTTTTCTCTCTATTACAGGAATGTTTTCAATGTTCATAACCTTCCTTCTGGGCGTGTCCTCCCTGCCCTCCGTGGGCGCGACGCTGACGTGGCGGGAGTTCACCTTCATCCAGAGCAAACTGGGCTGGATGGCGCTGCTGACGGGCACGGTGCACGACGGCCTCCTCGGCTGGGGGTTCTCGCCCAAGGACTACCTGGTGTGCTCGCTCCCCTCGGGCGCCCAGGTGGGGCTGCGCGGTATTGTATATTATAATATATATATATATATATATATAATATATATAATATATATATATATATATATATATATATATATATATATATATATATATATATATATATAATATAGAGAGAGAGAGAGAGAGAGAGAGAGAGAGAGAGAGAGAGAGACAGAGGAGACAGACAGACAGAAGACAGACAGACAGACAGACAGAGAGAGTTCTGTGTGTCTGGTTGTAGTATTAGTCACACTCAATTATGTATGTAAGTGTACGTATATTTACATGTATTCATGTAGTTAGGTGTGTATAGAGAGTTGTTGCTGGTGTTGATTCCCTCTGCCATGTTGAAAAATAGTATAATTTCTCTTGTTCTTTACTGCCTGTTCCCTCTCCCCGCTCCCAGTACGCCTTGCACTTCCCTCTTCTAACGATCGCGCTGAAGTTGCCTCTCCTGTTGCCCTGCGTCGACAGCGCCCTGCAGAGGATCCGGCGGGGACACGACAGGAGGAAGAAGACCAACGTTTCCCCGAAGGACAGCCAGCCGCTCGACATGACCAGACGCCAGCGAGGTATTTCTCTCTCTTTTACTGTTTCGCTCTCTTTCTCTTTTCTTTCTCTCTCTTTTCTCATTCTCTTTCTCTTTCTCTCTCTCTCTTCTTTTCTTCTCTTTCTCTCTTTCTTTCTCTCTCTCTCTCTCCTCTCTCTCTCTCTCTTCTCTCTCTCTCTCTCTCTCTCTCTCGTCTTCTCTCTCTCTCTCTCTCTCTCTCTCTCTCTCTCTCTCTCTCTCTCTCTCTCTCTCTCTCTCTCTCTCTCTCCTCTCTCTCTCTCTCTCTCTCTCTCTCTCTTCTCTCTCTCTATCTATCTCTATCTCTATCTATCTCTCTGCTTCACTTGTTAATCAATCTATCCTGTTTCAAAATATTAAATATTAAAAAGATGTAATGTAGCTCACAGTGCTTTATATTATTATTATTGTCACTCCTCAAATCATCGCTGTTGCTTCGTTTTCTCTATCTAAGATATATGCTATACCGTTTTCTTCTGTATTGTAAGGGTAACCCTAAGCATTTTTACGATTTCATGTTGACCGAAGTTTAAGAGTGCGAGAATTTATATTAGAATTAGATTGATATTAAACTTGCTTTTTAAGCTGTGAAAAATTTCAGTTTCTGTGATTTTTAAAGGCTGCATTTAAATATGACCAACCAGTAAATATATCATGCTACTGATAGATATATAGATGGATAGTGGTAAATTGATAGATAGAGTTAGATAGATAGATAGTTAGATAGACAGATAGATAGATAGATAAACATATATGTAGATGGATAGATAGATATATAGACAGAGGTAGAGAGGGGTAGGAATAGGTCGGTAGACTGATAGCCAGGCAGAGAGGCAGATACACAGATAGATCACTGACAAATAGACATATCCAGGCATTCATGTCGTATCAGTCTTTATTCATATACCAAGCATTTTAATTTCTGTTTCAAGTGGTTCATGTATATTTAAAAACATTTAATACAAATAATATTTTCTCTTCGATTTAAGTTTAGCATACTACACAAATAGTGTGTATTATTTGGGAATTGATAATAATTTAAATGCTATTTGGGTGTCTGCTTCAGGATCTAACGTAGTCAATAGAGCTTATTTATTTACTTCAGGTTTCGAAAGTTAGTGATTAAGGCTGAAGTATATATAGACTTATATATACAACATCACTTTGTTGCTTTTGAACGAAACAAATATAATCGATCTCTTGATTTGTTAAATGAGTGAAAAGATTGTTTGGAAACGCCTTGTATATAACATGGATATTGGTATCAGTATTTCTTTACTTAGCTGCCTATCTAGAAATATTTCTGTCTGCATTGTGTGTTGTGTATATATATAGTATATATATATATATATATATATATATATATTATATAGATATATATATATATATATATATATATATATATATATATATATATATATCTGTCTTTCTAGTAGCTATCTTTCAATCTGTCTGTCTTTCTATCAGTCTGTCTGTGTATATAGCTCTCTATGGCTCAACCTACCTATCTGTTATTTTTTTCCTTCTTCCATCTATAAGTACCTCCTTGACTTTTCATTTTGCATAACTTACCTCATTCGTCGTCACAATCCATCTATTTTTTCTATACTTTTTCTATGGTCTGCCTCCACAGTCTTAAACCCTAAAGCTCTCCTATCTCTCACTCTACCAGGATTTCTGCAAGTGTGAAGACCAACCATATGCGCTAGAAGAGCTGTTGTCATTACTTCGTCTTCTTCTCTTGCTGTAATTCCTGCTTTCACTACTATTCCTTCTGCTTCTAACGCTACTGCTGGTTCTGCTCCCGCGGATCGTGCTAATAGGAGACAAAACAATAACTAAGCCCTTCTGATGTGGTCATAACAAGTGGATCATAGTGACGTGTTCAATTTAGCAAAGCTATTTTTTTAATACAATTTGGTTTTACAATGAACTTTACGAATCAAGGTACTTGAACTACATAGATTCTATATGTAGTTCTAGTTTTGAAGTTTTCCAGTTGCACTAGTACATATGAAATAGGCTTATAATAGATGAATTAAAAAGCTTCTGATATCAACTATATAAGGTGAGGTAGGGGTGGCAAATCCTGCTCGCGCGTAGGCCTACAAAATGGCTAGAACCAACCCTGCTAGCACCTTCACTGCACCGTGAAAGTAACTACATAGTATCTATGGACTCTTGAATTTACGATACTAGTTTTATCTTTATTTCTAACCCATATTTCCTATCTTATTTTATTTCTCCTTCGTATTTCCTAAGTGAAGAGTTTACTGTCTGGTCCAAGCCCATTGATCACACCCTACTGCTATGAAGCGCTAACAATTCCAATTAACCATAGCCTTTGCACACTTTTCCAATCCAACACTAATTATATACAGCAATAAACTTTAATTCTTTTCACCAGACCATGGACTTCG